TGGGCTTGGAGTTTTCATAGTGGGAATTTAAACTAGAAATTTAATTTTCTTGATATTGGACTATTCATGTTATCTATTTCTTGAGCATTTTGGTAGTTTGGGTCTCAAGAAATGTATTTTCATGCAAGTTGTCAAGTTTATTGGCATGAAGTCCATGGTTCCTTAATATTCTTATATTCTGTAAGGCTTGTAAGGAAATCTCCTCTCACTCTTGATACTGGTAATTTGTCACTTCTTCTTTTTTTTCTTTTTTCTTTTTTTTTTTTAAGACAGGGTCTTGTTATGTCACAGTCATCTGTTTCCGCTACTAAGTAGATGGGACTATAGGCATGTGCCACCATGTCTGGCTCTTCAAATAGGTTCTATGTTGTCCATTGTGGCCACCAGCTCAGGATCTTCTTGCCTCCACCTACTGAGCAGCAGGATCTGCAGGAGCATGCTACTATGCCCAGCTTTTGAGATGAACTAGGAGCCTGTTTATTAGCACAACAAGCAGACTACTGGGGCTGGCCTCCTTTCTCTTCCATCTATCTAGAAGCTTATTAAATGTATTAATCTTTCCAAAGAATTAGATTCTGCTTTCATTGATTTACTCCATTTTTCTGTTTTCTTATGCTATTAATTTCTCTTTTATTACTGCCTTCCCTCCCAATTGGCTTGAGTTTAATTTTGTTGTTTTTCTAGTTTCTCAAGGTGGAAACTCAGATGATTGAGTCATTTATTCTTCTCTAATACAGGCATCTAATGCTATATTTTTATATGCACTGTTTTAACTGCATGCTGTAAGTTTTGACTGCATTTTCATTTAGTTTATATTTAATATAAATTCACTACCCAGGGGTTAACGTGTTGTTGATTTTCCAATAATTTGGGGGGATTTTCTAGATCTATTTTTGTTACTTTATAGTTTAATTCTGTTGTAATCAGAGAAACACTTAATTTGTAATCCTTTTGAGTTGTGTTATGGTCCACAATAGTTTCTCTTTATGAATGTCCCACGTGTTGTTAGAAAAGAAGATGTATTTTGCTGTTGCTGAATAGAATGCATTTTTTTTCACTAAAGCACAGAAACTCTCTCTTATATTTATGTTTTGTTTTTCAAAGACAGGATCATATACTCAATGTTCTAATATACCCTCTCATTGACCTTAAGAGGTGAAATTTGTTCAAAGTTTACCTTCTCATGTCAACTTAGTAACTGCACTCTAATAGTACTATTTTTAAGTTTAAACACAGATTTGAAAAATCTCACCCTCTACCCTTTTCTTATCCACCTTGCTATAAAATGTATATTGGTCTTATGAATATTTTCTATTCCTATTCTTTAAAGTTCAGCTGGAGTTTAAATACATAGTGTAAGCTACTTGATCTGATACAGGCTCAGTAGGAGCATGGATCATGGAATAAGGCTGGCCTGTGTTGAGATCCTCATTCTGCTACCATTTAATACATATGTGTTTGTGGACACATGCTCTTTATTTGTATTTTTAAAGCTTTTGTAACAATTAATTTTGATAAAGGTAGTAAAACACCTATATATGGCACAAATAAATAGCATAGGGCACTTTCTATTACTGTTTTGTCATTAGCGGGAATGCTGGGATATTGTACACACATTCTCCTTTTTTGAAACTTCTGATAAATGTCTACATTTGTTTATTAACCATTTATCCATATGTATCACACTGCTGTGTTATATATTACATGATTACAGTATGGATACCTCCTAAGAAGGGTTACTTATTTCCTAATCCTATCCAGTGAATTTATTGGATAGACATTTTTTGTGACAGAGGGAATGAGGTAATCTGATGACAATAAGCATCTAGGAATGTGGGACCCCAGAAAGAAGAATGGGGTCTGAAATAAAAAGAGCCTACTAGGATTGGCCCTATCACTCCTATTGGGAGTAATCATATCCATGAGCCTTGTATGCCTTTGCCATATGCCATGAAGTTACTTATCTGTTTATAAATAAACTCTCAACAAATCAGAACAATAGGGGAATAGAACCAGAAAGACTTAGTTTATTACGTCCATTATGCTTAGGGTTTAACGAGACCTGAATAAGAAAATCATTAAATTACTAGAATAATTTAACACATATATTCTGGGATTAGAAGCAAAGAGCAGTGAAAGCATAGCTGAGCTCTGAAAACATGCAAATTATATCTTCCTTTAACAAATTGTGGTTATCAGCTAGTGTGAGGCACTCTGCTAGGCAGTGGGGATATGAGAGTGACTATGACAGACATGGTCCCTGTTCCTAGTAGAGAAGGAATAGAAACAACCATATACGAACTGTGATGAGGAAGGTCCATAGAACTGTGGGAGTGCAGATGGAAGGCAGGTTTCCCTAATGTGACCTGAAGGATGAGAGGTCATTGAGTTATGAGTGGAGGGTGGAGGGGTTTCAGCAAGAAGGAACAACCTCTAAGAAGGCCTTTAGTTGGTAACTCTGACCTCTCCTGAAACATTTAGCCACAAGAAAATATGTAATGTAGTGGAGACTGTCTACAGCATCTAGTATTACCCAAACTCATCAAGATGAGTCAAGTGTAGGATGACAGAGTTTCACCGTTTTCCAAAGAGAATCTTGATAATAATTAAAAGAATGACAGCAGGTCAGGCTTGTTGATGCATTTTATTGTGAGATGGGGAAGTCTGGTAAAAAACTAGAAAATGACCATGATGTAACAAGAAACTTAAAAATGAAGAGTTGGATTTGTAACTTACATACATGAATACAGGAACAAATTGGCACAAAATGTTAAACATTGTTCCCAACACTGTTTATATAAGGAATCCTAATTTGGCTTACTAAGGAAATGAGAGTTTTATGGTTAGGCTAATCTCTTAATAAAACTGCAGCGCATCATGCTATTAGTCACACAGTGAATTTCAAAATTTAAGAGTTTTATATTAAAAACTGGGTAAAGGTAAAATGACTTGATTGTAGTTGTAAAACTAATACATTCCCATTTAAATTCTGTTCTACAGTCCAAGGCAAGTATAAATGTTAACATAACACTGTTAAATCAAATCTCAATGCAAGAGAACCAATTGCATCTCTACTTTAAATCTTATCAACTTTCCAAATTTTCATACTAAAATATATTATTGTATTAATACAAACTACAGTATTATACACTACACTGTGTAATAAATAAAGAAATATAAAAATAAGACACATAAATATAAAAGTTTTCTAAAACTAAAAGTACATATGTCAGTAAGAAGGGTATTAATACTGCCAGGTTTGAAGACATACAGTACAAAAATGTTGCACAGATCTCTAAACTAAAAGAAATAAAATAATACTGATAGGTAAAAATCAGCTAATGTTGTTAATAACTTGGGTCCATAATAACTAACATTTGGAAACAGTTATGAGCCAAATAACAATGGCATGTCCATGTCGGAAATGCAAGTACATGGATAAAGCAGATTAGACAATTTCCCTTTCGCTTCTGTAGAGAAATTCTGAAAGTCAATTAACATAAAATGAATACCGAGGAATTAAAGGATGAAATGTCCCAGTGTTTCAGTTTCTCTGACAGAGTCAGTGGTTCTAAGTTTTTTTGGGAATTTTGATACAACAGACAAATCAACAAATGCTAGTTATTGTAGGCCACACATTGAACAAAGGCGGGTTAGGGCCTTGAAAATACTGAGAAATGGCACTTACAGCACACAGGTCTTGCTTAAGGCCAAAGGAGATTCAAAGCTTCAGCTCATATCCTTCCTCTTTGTTACCACATACTCAAACACAATTACAAACACTGATTCTGATGACTGCTGTCCTTACAGGATTAGCACTGTTCGTCCCTGCAATCAGAACTCAACGACAATCTTGAACTCTGTTTTAAACCACATCAGTAAGAAACTTCAGTTCCTCTATCAGCTGCTTTCTTAAGGCTAACAATACACTTAAATGATAATATGCTCCACTATAACATCTAAATATTAGAAATTACTACCTTCTAGATTGAATTTTAAGAAGGTAGTTAGCACGGTTTGGAACTGCTTTATACTTCTGTGAAGGGAATTTTGTAGTGCAGAAGTTCTCACATTTAAAAAAAACATAATAAAATACTGAAGCGGATTTAGCATATGTTTACCAATAAAAAATTATAAAATTTCTCCCAATTGTACAGCTTAAGAATAAACCAACATAAGAGTGATAATACTGATAAAATGAAACAATGCCAGATGCTTGTCTATTAATCAGTTTTCTTAAACCTGTTAAATCTTTCTGAGTCATTAAAGTTTTCTAATCTGCTTCATGTTACAAACTTGTTCCTAACTTTGAAAACTTCATGAAAAATTACTAGGTCGGAGGTTCAGGCACACCCGGATTTCTTTTTTTTGTGTGTGGTTTTTTTTTTTTTTTTTTTTTTTTTTTTTTTTTTTTTTTTTTTTTTTTTATTTTTTTTT